AGGTGTTCTATTTGGGGTAAAAATTTTATTTCGGGCGGCCTTACGATTTTTGAGAGCGAGAAAGGGTCAAAAAAGAGGGGGGGGGGGGGTACCCTTAAAACAATAATGTCATCTAGAATATACATTGAAGCATTGCGATGCAAAATTTAAATATATGCTGTTTCAGAAAAGATGCGAGTACGTGTTAGTGTTCATGGAGAGAAAAACCGCAAACACTTCGCCTACAGTCATAATTCCATACCATTTCTTTCATATGTCATTCAGTTTCATCCTCAAGTTGATAGCTTTTTGTCTGGACATAAGGAGATGATACAAATCCCGTCAAACGTGGATACATTCGTATGTACAAATGAAATTTTATTAGAACGAAGACAGTGTCATGATTGATGCTTTGATTAGTAGAAAGTCAGAGTAAACTGCCGAAGTTTTCTTTAACTATCACGCATAAGTCTTGTCATCGTCAAACAACAACATAAAATGGCAGCGACAATATATTGGATAATTAGAATTACAAAAGCGAATTGATATGTGCCCTTATCACAGTAGGTTGGCAATGACTTGTTGTCGTACTGTACAGATTTACTAACTCCGAATGTCCACACACTACCAGCAATGGTCCATACGAAAGAGAACAACTGTAACACGATCATTAATAAACTCAAAGCTGTACTACATTCAGGCGAGCTCTTACTCGATGCCAATATGTAGATTCCAATACCAAGTACTATATCTAGAATCGAGATAACACCACCAACAATGAGAAAGGTTGGGATGTGTGATTGAATTGGACAATTATCCACGTTTGAGCCACCGACTGCCATCATGGCAATAGGAAAAGTCAACACGATTATGACGAGTAATGCTCCACATACGATACTGGCACATCCGGATATAGTATTAATGGAGTTTGAATTTATCGAAGAAAATGGTTGCCGTGGTTGATAAACCGTTGGGTATGTATTCAGCTCGATTGAAGATGAGAATGCTTTAAATGTAGTCATATTTATCTAAATGTAAAAGTAAACGACATAGTAATTGGGCTGATACGAACAGTGACATTTCTGCCTTGCGTGTAATGTGCTAACCGACTGTTCAGTATTTTCTGTCTACACAATACTTTTCATTGACGCTATAACTTAACCCTCTGCACTATAGCACGTAAAAATTTCGTTTGCTCATTGCACTCTACAATGACAAAATATTGCCAACGTGCATCGATTCAGCATTACTTCATCTGAATTTCGATTGTTCTCTATTTATTGAAAGTTGGAAAGAAAAAACAAATTGAAGGACACCGATAGTGTGGTATGCGTCATTTTCTGCTTGCCTATGTTCTGCACAAATAAAAGTTGCCGCTCAGGTGTATTTTGTACAAGCACAAATTCTTTTTTGCATAGAATTCAGAGCATTGTTTCTGTGCGCAGCAAACAAAAGTTGTCGAGTCTGTGTCAATGATCAAAGACGTATTCATAGTTTGTTAAGACCTATATGATGAACAGGTTCCTAATTCAAAAGTGAATCGGCACATAAAGACGCTCCCTCTCGAGTCATTCATGCAAGGATTTTTCACAGCTAATTTCTCTCTTGATTTGGATATAGAATTCTATTTTTTTTGAAGTCTTGATTCATCAGTGTTAGAATATTTGTGGTTTCTTTTTGTTAAGAATTTTTGGAATATGTAATTACATATGATTCTCATCATATCAACAATGATTTGGGCGTATGTGAATATTTGAAAGAATTACCCCTGAGTATTAAGAAGCTACTCAGTTATATATTAGATGTTCACATTCTTTTTTATAACTTGATGCCTCATTTGATCTGATAACAATCCATTGATAAGAAAATACGTAATATCCAGCTTTTATACACTTCAGAACCCACCACAAAAACATTTTGAGTTACACGAAGTTCACTATTTGATTCTTCTCAAAAGGTGTAGTATATCATGAAACTTCACAATAGATAGTCTATAAAGATCACTTAATTCATAGAATATTGAGTTTCAGTTTTCTTTTGACAAAAAAATTTTCTTAATTATTAAAGACGTTGTCAATTTCGTTATATTTGAAGTAGATGAATCTACAACCGTGAAAAAACTTTTCAATCTTTATTTTATAAATTTTAGTTTTCAATAATTAGACCATTGCAAAGTAGAGAAGAATTTAAAATATTCGTTTAATTGAGTAATTGATAGTCAGTCATCATCATTGATGTTGTCTGTTTGATAGGTTTGAGCTTTATTCTCAAAACGTAATACATAAATTATCTATTCCAGTATCGTAATATCCTGATCCAGATGGATTGAATACAACTTTTGTTATTCCAGACCAATTCAATTCGATTATTCTTTGTGTATATGTATTAAGTGAGAGTGTAGTTGTATACATTTGTGTTGAAGAAAAATATCCGATAATAGATAAACTCACTGAATCGTACCATCCAGCAGCTGTTACAAATGAATTTATTGTAAATGTTCTATTAGCTATCAATGTTTCTATTGTCATAGGAGCATTGAACCAACAGATATATTCACCAGAGACACAAACATATCGATAACCACTAGTGGGCAGTCCGGTTGCATTTAAATATTTTGCATTTGTCCAGCTGAGATTTTGATAGCTTGACGGAATAAAACCATTTAGGCTACTCATACTAAGAATATCATCATCAAATGTGATGGCTGTTGCACCCAGTTTGCAGACTACAAATGTTTAAAACTTGAATTATTATTACAAACAAAAAATAAGGTCGATTATCATTTGTCTTGAAATCGACTATTATTCAGTTACATAAATGTTGTCGTTTATTTTAACTTCTTCTAGCTATCACTGAGTTCGTCATATATTCACTATCTCTTAACGGATACGATTTCTAGGAGTCATCAACTTTAAAGTTGAATACAGCTATTGAACTATTCTAGTGAGAGAGAGATCCCTTATGTAGATTTTTGTGGCATCTCCAACGAGAGAGTAATACTTGAGTACTTAAAATTCAAGTTCTCAACTTTGATGCATATAGTTATTAGGAAGAAAATGGAACAAAAAAAAATCATTCTTTTCCAGCCGATAGTTCATAAAATTCTCTAAAACCAACATAGACTTAGTTAAGTTTCATTCCAAATTTAGAGATCATTCTTTGGCTATTTCAATACGAGGCCATTGATTATTAAGGTCAAAAAAGAGAATTCAATTATGATGAGCTTATTGATGAAATATCTTTTTCTTTGAAAATAAAAATAAATATACTAATGGATAAAGAACATGAAAATCCTTTACATCTTACATGACACCTCATCAAAATACTTGACTCAATCGTTCTATACCATTTTCCAAGTGAAAATGAATATATACAGTGGATTCAACAGGATTGAATAATGCCGACTTGCATCTATATGAATATTTAGCTAAGTTTTAACTTTTCAGTGGTATAAAAGGTGTTTTGGCATTAGTATACAGCTTAAGCAAAAACTTCTGACAGTAAAAAGGTTCATATGAAATAGGATCGCTGACATCTAAAATGTCTGTTTAAACTTGTATAGATCATAGTAATATATTTTTTTCGATCAGATTAAAATTATTCAGTATGGACTATCTGACATGTTACATATTGACATTGATACAGCGTGTTTCATAAGTCCTGGAACGCAATACAATTCGTTTATATGGATAAACAGAACAATGTTCAACCATTATGTTTCTATATCAGCTTCGAGTACTCGCGACGACCTTTCAAATGATATATTATTGTATTGATATCTTTCCTTATAATAATAACAATATAAACATGATAAAGTGATGATAAATTTTTCGAGATCAACTAATATGATTTTTTTTCAAAGATTTTCTAATAAAGTGTGAAACATATTTATATAAGAAATAATATAGGTGTAGTCAATAACTACTTATCTTAATCATTTATTCGAAGCTCATTACCAGCTACTAGTTACATGATGAGTAAAGCTATATGCTCAATAAGTAGTTTGAAATGGATAAAATATACATGCGTAACAAAAAAAAAACAGCATGCTGTGTACAAAATGCTTATTAAATATATACTCTGACTGTGTTTTCCCACATGATACTCGTTTCGACATTTTTAATGTTTTTTCGATATTACGCATTGATTAACTCTTGTTATTTCTTATATAAATATATTTCACACTTAATTAGAAAATCTTTAAAAAAAAATCATATAAGCCGATCTCGAAGAATTCATCATTATTTTACTATGTTTATATTTTTATTATTGTAAGGGAAGATGTTATTCAATAATATATCATCTGAAAGGTCGTCGCAAGTACTCGCAGCTGATATAGAAACATAATGGTTGGGCATTGTTTTGTGTCCCTATAAACGAATTTTATTGCGTTCCAAGTTTTATGAAACACTCTGTAGCATTAGTGGTACTTTATATGTCTCTCTCAAATTCCGCTTTCACTTACTTGCTGTATTGGGTTGACATGATCTAAATACACATGTCAAATTCCAATCCTGTCGACACCAAGATGATGAATTACATGTTTTACCGTAAGACAATTGGTTTTGACACAACTGTCCATTCCAAAAAGTTGTTGGTGGAGGACATTGACACTTTGCATTTTGACAAGTCAAATAACGATTAACTTGACATCGATCACATGTTCGATTATAATCTAAATAAAGTTGAGGTTGATATCGTATACGACCTACTCGCGATGTTGATCCTGGAACAGATGTAATATTGCCAGATGACAAATCACTTTGATATAATTGGCAATTCAATGTTATTTCATTGTAGACAAATACTCGACATAGAACATTTTGACTGCACTGTTGTGCACACCACATCAACGATTTAATAGTGACAATTTTTAGTGGACGTTCAAGTAAAGCTTCGGGAGTGAATATTGTACCTTTATCACTAAGTTCTATACTCGATTGATAAATTTGTTGTAAACAAACAATAATTTGGTGAAAAAGTAACAAGAACAAAGTGAAATAGTATAGAAATGGCATCTTTAACATTTCTTATTATTAAATGGATTCACGACAAGTCATTAAACAAATGCATCTCTAAAGGAAGAATGAAGTTGCTTTTTTTCATCACTATTATTTGACTGAGCAAATGAGAAAAAAGATTTCTTTTTCTATTTTTAAAACACCAGATGCTTGGCACATGAAAGCACAAACGAGTGATCTTCGCATGTGTTTGCTCTTAGAAAAAAAGCTAAATTTTCATCAGAAAAATCGACATTGAATTAAATGCCTCGGAAAATAATCAAAAATCCGATTTTTCATAAACTATATGATTTTTTTAATTGGCACTTCATTTTTTGATAATTTCGATCATCTTCCATTGAGAAGAAATGCTTCTCTGATTGCGCATTCCAGAATTCTCTAGGAAACTTCATTATTATCAATTGCTTTTTTTTGTTGTTATTATATGAAAAAGCATTTCTATAAATAGACTAGCAATTTTTCCGAGTTTTTCGAGATATTGAGTTTCTCATCTTTTTTTCTCCGCAAAATAAGTAAGAATTTAAAAAATGACTCTACCAAATACTGGCTGGCATACAGTGTGTTTTATGTTTTATCTTGATGTTCATTACTATCTATAGTTGTTAGCTTCCACAAATGAGATGCTTGCAATCAATATGTTTTTTACTACAAGAAAGTTGTCATCTTTATATGTATATACAAAACTACTAGCAGTTATGATTTATAGTGAAGTAGAGTGGTGTAAAACTCAAATATATAATACTTCAAAAGAACTCTTCCTCTCATATCCCGTCGAATTTCGTTCTCAAGATGAGTAGCTTTTTCTTTGCACGTGTGGATGCGTTCGTATTTTCAAAAAAACAATTATTAGAACTGGGAGAGTGTCATAACCGATGCTTTGATTAGTAATAAGTCAGAGTAGAAGACCAAAGTTTTCTTTAACTAGCACGAAAAGTTTTGATTATCACTGAGCAACAACATAATATGCCAACGAAAATCAGTTGGATAATTAGTATCTCAAAAGCGAATTGATATGTGCCTCTATCACAGTAGGTTGACAATGACCTGTTTTTGTGCTGTATAGATCCATTTGCTCCAAATATCCACACACCACCAGCAATGATCCAGGCCAAATGGAATAACTATAATATGATCTTTAGGCAATTCGAAATTGTGTCACTCATAGTCGTGTTCTGTTTTGTAGCCAATAAGGAAGTTCCAATATTGAGTACAATATTTAGAATTGAGATGACGCCACTCCCAATTAGAAAGGTTGGGATGCATGGTTGAATTGGACAATTAGCTATGTTTGAGCCACCTACTGCTATCAGGGCAATTGGCAAACCAAGAACGAATATGACAGCCAATATTCCACAAGTAATGCCGACGCATCCAGATATAATATTAATGGACTTTGAATCTATAGAAGAGGAGGATGTTGACAGTGGTTGATAAATGACGGGTTTTCTAGCCAGCTCGACTGAGGACGAGAATGCGTTGAATGTGGTCATATTTATTTAAATATTAAAGCAAAATACACGGTAACTCAGCTGTTAATAACTTTATAGTCGTATCCGGCTGATGCGAACAGCTTCAGGTTCTGATTTGTGTGATTGCAGCTCACATCAATTCAGAATCGCTTCACTCGAGTTTCAAGTATTCTGTGTGTTTTTGTTCAAAGTTGAAACAAAAAACTAAGTAAAGAAAGGCAACAGTGTGGCATGCGTCATTTGCTAGTTGGTCGCCTTCTGTACGAATGAAAGTTGCCGCGTAAGTCTCCTTTGTACAAACACAAACTCCTTTCTGCATAGAATTCAGAGCATTGTTTCTGTGTAGAGCAAACAAAAGTTGTCGGATCTGTGAGAATGATCAAAAACATGCAAAGTACTTAGTAAACCTATCACATTCGTTTTGAACTAGACTCCGTTAAAAAACTATGAATGAATGTAGTTGTATCGCACTACGAACAGGAAGACACGCAATTGTATTCGTTTATTGATCAGACAAACAATGATATTAGATTGAGATTTATTTGTATAGAATCAGAGGATGAAACGAATTCAGAAACTCCAAGTTAGACTCGACACAAGTGGCAAATCCAGGTTGTAGGAGCTTATCTCCTAGATGCGTTTTTAGAGGAAGTACTTGCTACCTTTGAATAGTGTGTTTGTATGCGTATATGCAAGAAAAGTCATCACACCTACCCACATTCACACCCCGCCTATATAATGACTAGGCTCTTGACTCAAAAGTGAATTGGCAACACCTGGAAATGTTCTTTTTTATGTCATTCACACAATGATTCTTTCACGTCTTATTTCGATCTCATTAATGTCCGAATTTTTCTGGTTAATTTTTGTTAATATTTTTTTGAGATTTATGCTTAAACATGATTCTCATCGTTATTTTATTTATTATAGTTAATAATAAATCGAAATGTTAATCTTTTTGTTCATATATATGAATTGAATTAGTAGAATAACTTGTTAATAAAAGACAAATCACAATAACATGGTTTACTATTTTGGAAATCAAAGTTTTCAAACGTCATTCTATAATTTTAGATTCCATTAATGATGAAACACGTTGAATATCTTCTTGAATTTCAATATAATACGTATGTGTTGCTGAAAATATGCTTGCAAATGCCAATGATGCTTTTTTATAATATTTTAAAGCTTCTATAAAATTTCCATCTTCTTCATATGCAAGAGCCATATTTCGTAATGTTGTTGCTAAAGATGGATCTTGTGATGAACGAGATTTACTTTTGATTTTATATGCATAATCATAATTTTCTATTGCAGCATTATATTCACCAAGACATAAATAAATATTACCAATATTATTATATGATGAACCTAAATCAGCTTGAAATTTATCACGTATAGATAAAGCTTGTTGATGACATGCTAATGCTTTTGAATAACATTTTTCAATTTCATAAATACATCCCATATTATTTAAACATTCAGCCATTTGAAAAGGTTCATCATTACCATCAGATTCTTTCCAAATAAGTAATGCTTGATTATAATATTGTAAGGCTTGGTTATAATCATACATATTCTGATAAACACAACCAATAGAATAATAAGTATCAGCTAAAATTGGATCATTAGGTTTTAAGATTTTTAATAATTTTTGAAACCAATTAAGACTTAAATCATAATTACTTTTAAGAAATGATAAATGACCAAGTGTATAGTAACATTTAGAAATATCTTCATGATTTTGAGGCAATTCTCTTAATAAACGATTAAAATATGTATCAGCTTCATCATATCTTCCCATTTTTTGTAAAATATGACCACATGATATAAGATTTTTATCATCATATTCTTTTTTAATATTTGTTAAAATCATGTTTATAATCCATACACCAGATTTTTTATCTTGTTGAATATCAATAAGCTTAAAAACGGATCCTACTGTAAATAAAACTTGTTGTTGTTGAGGATTACAAGTTAATGATGTTATATTAGCAAATGGTTTTGAATTGTCACATTGAGGATCAGCATTGATTTCAAATAATATTCTTACAAGATCATTTGTTATTGAAAATTCATTTAAAGATAATATTATTTGTTTATTATCATAATCTGTTGACATAAATGTATTTATTGATATATAATATCCAAGAGAATTTTTCAATATATTTAATTCATCCATTGATATTATTTGACCATGATAAACTTGTATGGAAGATTTTAATTGATATTTTTGTAAATTTTCATATATATCACGAATAAAAAATCCCATATGTAATAATAAATCATAATTTCTTCTACTTAATGCTTTACTTAATAAACGATAAATAAATGAATCTCGTGTTAACCACCATAATACTTGATTTGAATTATATTTTTGTTTAAATTCATGAACTATTGATAATTGATTTTGATCATGATGATATTCATTTAAACATATATTAATAAATTCAGTTATATCATTTGATAGTGTTTTCATATGAAGAAGATAATCAATAAGTAATTGAGAATAATAAAACTCATCATTGATCAAATCATCTGATAAATTATTTGTTTTACATATATTTATTGGAAATGGGTCATCAACTTTATATTGAATTCGTTTTATATAATCCGATTGAACTTGATTAATAAGTGAATCTAATTTGTTGAATACACCATTCACCTAATAAATAAAATAAAGAGTTGTTGAATGATTTATTTCTATCACAGAGAGACAGACTTGTTTGATTCATGATTCAATTGTAAATGATGCATTTGGGCAGAAATTTTCAACAATGAGTAACCCTAGTGCAAAACGTTTTTGATAAAAATCTCAGTCCAATACGTCAAACTAGAGCGAACTTTCGGCTTATTTATAGTCAATTTATGATATTCAGGAGAATTCATATAACTTCATTAATAGAAGAATTCTAGCAGAAAGTGAAATAAAAATTCAGGGGAGAGGGAGACTGGGTCACCACTTCTAGAAAATATTGACAGCCCTGCTTTATGACATTAAATCTCACTTTTTTCTTTGGTTATTTTTTGAATCGTATGAGAGGAAACATGCCATCGAAATCAGCAGCTCAATTTTAACAATTAATTGCGATTTCGCCTTTTTTTCTTTTATTTAGATTAATATCAAGGCCTAAATAAAAAGAAAACAGTGTTTTTTATTATTTACAGGACATCGGAAGAATAAATTTATCTCTTCTCAATTCATAAGAAACTTTTATAGGTACGATAATAATAGGCAATCAGAAAATTGCAATTTTCTGTAAAAATATCAGGGAAAACCACTGTTGATCACATGAAAGGCTTCTATTTTTCTGATTGAAAACTATGTTCTGAGAAAAAAAGTTAAATAAGTTTAGACCTGGATTTTTTTTCATTTCAATTCAGAAGAAAAATATATTAAAGTGGCATATTCATAATATATTTAAGTGAAATTTTTAAAAGCATGTCACACATGACGTAAGCTACCACCATTTGTCGCACTTACATTATATAAAAATGTTTATTCAATGTTGATGCAAGTAAAAAGGTAGTCTTCCGAAAACTGAATTTCCTCCGAAAGTCTGTTAAAATTTGATCTTAACGTATAGCACTTTATAAAAAAATTACGAAGAACAAAAAAAGAAAACGAACGTTTCGTTTTTTTTTCTCCTATTGTATAATGATTCATATGTATATTACAAATTACCTTAATAAATTTTTTAGCCCATTCTTCATTTCTTTCTTTGTCTTGACAATAAACATAAATGGAAAATACTTGTCGAAATTGATGAATACGTGGTACTATTTCTTGACCTAATCGTCCGTTGACAATTAAAAAAATTCGATCATCTTTTGTTTTTTCTCGTATATATTGTTCACAATCTTGAACATGTAAAAATGTTTTAAAATAATGAATAATTGAACGAAATTCTCGTTGAGTAGCGATATTTTCAGTTGATGAATTTACTGAAGCATCAAGCCAAATAAGACAAACGGTTTCGAGATCAGTCTCTTTTACAATAGGGTATGCTGCCATCAGTGTTACCTTTTCTTTTGATTCTTTTAAAATGTGATTTTCTTATTCATTTTCGACTTGTCTTATATAAACAATTCGTTGCTTGTAGACTTTTTTTTTCTTCACTTCTATGACACACATCAGAGGAATGCAAAAAAAAATGTTGCATGTGACATACTGATTGAAATTATTGCATATATTTTTATATAAAATTATGAAACACAGACAAAGAAAAAACAAAGACATTATGCCGAATTATTTAAAAGTCTTGATTATATATTAAGTGCATATTTTAGTTTATGGAGTGAGTTCAAAATATCCATAGATTATGGTAGTTTTCAGCAGAGTACTCAAAAAGACCGAATGGTACACTAAGGTATTAGAGGCAATTGATACAAATATTATTGTTTCACTTTTTGTTTAAACCAATGAACAAAATTCAACAATTTTCGACTTTCTCTTATATTTCCTTGTAGAAAAGAACACGATAATACATTTGTTCAGCGGTAACAGTCTATTAAAATTTCTAAAATAGCTATAAAGATTGGGTGTGATAATCTGAGTAGAACATTCAACAGCACATCTTTGGAAAAAAACAACCATATAATAAATACCGAGAAACTACTGCCGATTTTTTTGAAAGTATTGTATCAAAACGGGTGACTTTCACATAAAAAACATATTGCATTAATTTTGATGAATAATGAATTAATAAACATTCAAAATGTAAGCATAACTTTTCACATACTCTTCATAAATATTTTCAGGTAATCAAAACATCGTATTGACGAAATAGATCAGTGTTTATAACGTTACATCTTATGAATATGATGAAATAAAATGTAATACTAATGTTGTATAGTTAACAAATCAAATCTATATTTTTTAATATAACATAGGTATAGAAAGTTGTTCTTGTATGGGTAATTTTTGAATGAAGCAACAAAGAACTTTTGTATTCATACAATCATCTGAATAATTCGATAAATTAACAAAATTTTTCATTTAATATCAGAACTTTATCAATACAATACTAATGTAAGAAAAGGGTTTTAAAGTTTTGATCAACTTAGACATGTGTGTGTTCAGATTCATTCATATCTTTGTTTATGTCATCGATCGAATAAGCATGACTTTTTAAACAATTATTAAATAGAATTTATTTTCGAATATTTTTTTCTTTACTGAAAGATACAAAGCAAACTAAAGTCTTATCAACATAGTGTTTTTCTGGTTTTCACTTTTAATAATGAAACTAACTATCATCAATTTTTTAAAAATTTTGATACCAATGTGTCGAGCAATATTTCCGTGAATTACAAAGTTCTATTGTCATCTTGTTTATGCATCGAAAAATTGTGAAATATTTGATAGATAGCAGTATAATTATCGAAATATCAATAATTTCTTAGTCAGAACTGAAATTGGTTCAATATCTATGGTATTCTATGGTATTGAATTAGGATGGATTAACTTGATGAATCAAATAACACTAGCGAATCATTTAGATTACGTAGTTGAAGTGCTAAAAAAGAGTTTCTGTCGATATTTCAATTATTATGCTTTAAACAGAAGAACATAGGTTGAGATAGTATTTGAAAAGTCAATTCTAATATCTATTCTCTGGTGTCTCGAGTCACTGTCAACTGTTATTTTCAAGAATTGAAGTTATGTAAGTAACAAAACATAACGAAATGATATCAAAACAGATTCTTATAATACTCAAGAGATGTGTTAGTAAAACGATTTTTTCCTAGAATTAATACCAATTGCATTCTCAATTTTAAACTAAGTTTCCCTTTATTTTTAACAGTGCTTGAGTATCTTATGCATGGTAGTATCTGAAATAATAAAAGTTCATATAAGCGAATGCTATTGTTAAGTTCTATCTTATAGAATTATTTAAAAAGAAAATCAATCTCATTAGTGTTTTACAATATTCGACACCATTTTTTGGACGATTTTTCAAAATAAATATTTTTTTCATAAGCTCAAAGAAGAGAACACGAGTTACATTTGGATAACTAAACCCTTTCAAAAGTGAATTTGTCTATAATGTAATGTGCTTATTTTACTGCAAACAACACACAATGTTCATTTAAACTCTTTATTATTTTTCTGTAATGAGTCAACTTTCTTTCCAAATATACCATTCGAACCAGTGTCCGACTTTGCAACTGTTTCAGAAAGTGACTTCTAAAGAATCGGCAACATTTTCGTAAAACCTCGAGCTATCTACTATCTTATGCAGTATCTGACACTTTTGAATGTGATATTTGGAAAGAAATATTACCTATTAGAAAAATGATAGAATTTACATGAGCCGCATGTTTTGTTCATCGTAAAATAGGCACATGATATAATAGACAATTTGCTTTTAAAAAATTGTAGTCACTAAAATGTAACTCGTGTTCTCTTCTTTGCATTCATATGCGCTCAGGTCTTTTAGAACAACTCTGAAAGAACTTATGTCGATCGTCTAAAACATTTTGTCCAACAAAAATTGACAACTCCAGATTATTATATGTACAATTTCACTATAACTCAACATTAGAAGTGAAATCTTCTGTGCATATCGTATAGACGCTGACTGTAATTTTCACACGAAACCGTTCGCCAAAAGTCAACCTTTTATGATAGTTATATTTAAAATAAATTCGTCTAAAAAATCTTGCCCAAAATTGTATATTCATTAGAAAAGTTTCAAATGTTTTGAGCCCATGAGAATGGGCGCTTTCTACGATTTCACTCCTGTTAAATTTTCGATGCATTTTTATGATTTTTTTTTAAATATTTATTTCGACTGGTTGTAATTACATCTCACAGTCAGATATTTTGAAAGTAGAGAAAGAGAGAATGTGCAAATAATCAAACGCTTCATCTCATACTATTTACTCTAATGATATCAATAGAAGGCAACAGTTTATTCTAAGGAAGCATTAATGCTACAGTTTTCTTTCTGTCAGTTAAGTCAAATAGGCAAAAACTTTGTTGGAAAGAATTTCATTGAGTGAGTTTGCTTATAAAGGAATCTATGCCGAACAAAGTATACCTCAAGCTTCAGAATAATTTGACCACTCTATCAACATTTGTTAATTTTTTTTTCAGTCCAGTTTATATGTTCGCACAACAGCAAACTTCGCCATCGATATTAAAGTATGTCAAAAATAGAATACGAGGATATAGTGAAAAGAATACGTCATATAGAAAAATTCGTTAGTATGTGAGTGAAAACAAAATTAAATGAGATTGAGATAGATTGAGCCTGAAAATATGCAAATTCTCAAAATTCAAGCTGCCGAACTAGAATTGAAATCTAGCAACTACTTTCTAATTATCCGATGAGGCTAACAGAACAAGACAAGATTTCATATTTGCCTTAGCCTGCTTCTGTTCAAGTAAGAATAAAAAAAACTAGCAGAAAAGTCAATACATTAGGTCAGAGGTAAAACTGATGTGAGTTGTAAACAATCGGTGTCGATACTGATCTGCGTATATCAGACTGAATCAGATCCACCCATCTACTAGTATTAATCGATAGCTCAGCAAATCGATCGGTACTCGATGTGGATTCCATTTCCACAGTATTCATTTCAAGTGTAAGGTTTTTAACAAAAGAGGTGGAATTGCGTGTCCGAAGATGAGACAGTCACGCCCACTACAACCACACTCACACCCTCACCTACACCCACATCCTCGAAGAGAGTGAAATAGCTTAACAAAAGATTAAAAGCCAAATCATAGATTTAATGTATGAATCAGAGCTCCGCGGGACGCGGGACTAATCCCGTCCCATCCCGTCCCATCCCGCCCAGGGACGGGACGGGACGATAAAATTGAAAATTTGGTGGGACGGGGTGGGACGGGACATGATTGTTCTCGGGACGGGACAGGACAGGACAAGACCGATTCACTTTGACGTCCCGTCTCATCTTTATGACGCAAGATTGTCACGCAATGTTTTCCACAGATCGCAGTTGNCGATGAAGAGAAAAAAATCAGTAATATACAATGTGTGAGAAGTGAGCAATGATAAACACAATCAATCGTCTACAAAAATAATAGTCTTCGGCGTACCATCGAAAATTGGTCGCTGAGAATTTCCCTTTTTATGAAAACAAATAAACTGTTCTTTGTAAATTATAGAGCTTTACACGCTGTATCTTATGATATAGTTTGTTTTGTTTTTAAGAAAACATTTGGTGATAAAAAGATGAAATAAGAGAAAAACGAAATTTCTTGGTCGTATAAAAAATGATTTTCGTCATAACGGCGGAAATTGGTCATACAGAATTTTGCTTTTTTTTAAACAAAAAGTACACAATTAAGATGAGCATCACTTTGTAGATTTGAGAGCTTCCTACACTGCATCGTGTGATATATTCTCTTTTTTTAATAAAACGTATTTAGAGATTAAAATATGAAATGCAAAGTTCGAACATTTATTATGGACGATCCGTTACTAATCAGTCATCAGTATTGAACAGTTATTATAGCACAATTAATAGAGATCAGAGCAACATTCAAGAACCGAGACTCCCGATCTTGTAACATGCCTAGTTACTTGTTCATTCATTTTCAAAAACACTGTACTAGATTCAATTGTTTGAAATTTTTCGGCATAGTTTATATAACTTCTATCTGTCGAATGCCCTCAGAATATCGACGGCAACTTTTTTTTCTAGGCATATAGAACGCACGATTTTCTTTCATATTGACGTCTTGCTAGTGACAGAAAGGCAAAAATATCAAACGGCGAAAGAAATCACAGCTTATTAATATACCTTACCGATCATATATGCTTCAAATCATTGATCGAAACGAGTAGTAACGTATCTCGACTAAAAACCACACACAAGATAATGATCGAAATTGAGATGAACCATCCGTGTGTGCTTTCTACGCAATCAACAATGGTTAATTCTGTTGTTCAGAATTAAATAGTCGAACAAAAGTTTTAACACCAAGACAAAATTTCAATATTCAGCATTACAACATGATCGAGAAACTACAATTGTTAATGCTAACGTTCATCCAATCAAAACTATTGGCGATGAAGATCTGTTTGTAGTTCGAAAATCGTTAGACATTGCCGAATTTTTATCGAATCGAATTAAAACAAAATCCAAGTTTTAATCGATTACAATCGGTTTTTCTATCTAACTCTAATAATTTTCTAATTATTTTAATCAAACGATAAGGTTAAAAAAGAAGTGCTGTGAAGATGTAGCGACTAATTCGAAAATTGAAACAGCGGAGTTCGTAGTTTTTGACCTATTTAGTACTTTTAATTTGTTTATGAGTGTTTTCATAGAAGAAATATGTACTGGTGAAGCATTAGAAAGACGTTGCTTCTATTAACAGTTAAAAAACTTTACACACTAATGTTTTTTTGCCTTTTTCATATCTTTTGGTGAACTTCTTACCGCTTGTTATTGTCTTGAGTATATCAGTACTGATGTCGTACATTACGTTCTGAAGAAAGTTACGCTGCATAGTGCTTGAATAAAAATTTCTAATAGAGAATAAAAAACAGAAAAGATGACTTATTCGTTCACAGCTCAGTCCGCTGTGTGACCAATAGGTGTAAATTTTCATCATATTAAATATTTTCGTTTCCTGAAGAACGACACCGGATAATGTACTGTTTGTGTTGTGGGCGGCAATAGATAGAGAATAAATAACTAAGTATTAAAGGAGGAAACGTCAGTCGAATCGATAGTTAATATGGAACATGAGTCTGTTCACTTGCTTGATTTATCTGATGAAAGTCTACTTATTATTATGGAAAACTTTGTTCTATCGATGTCCTTTAATGATTACTGGAAGTAAACAACCGACTCGATAAAATGACACGAAGTCTCACTCGCACTAAATCTTTACAGTTCTCGAGTATATTATCGAATAATACATTTTGATTAGCTAATTATCCGGTAAGTGTAACTTATTGTTGATCAATGGTGAACGAAATACATTTATATGTCTAACAGTGAGACAAAGAATTTTTTTTCTTTCTACAATCATCGCCATGATTTCAATTTAATAGGTTTCGTATCTATTCTGTGCAATAAATGAAAGTAATCAGTTGTCTTAATGGAATCAGTGGGAGAGATGTGAACAAACTCATTTTCATAACTTTGAATTGTGTTTAAGGGTAAAGTACATTTTTTCACCTTAGTAACAAGTCACTTTCATAGCTATAAAAAAAATCAAAATTTCATGTATTAAAGCACTTTGAAAAATTTATAGTGAATATACATTTCAATGTATCTACTTTAGTCCATTTGTGAGGAGAAAAAAAATTGGCTTTTAGAATTTTACATTCGAACATAGCATGCTTCGATATTTACTTAGATACTTATGCTTTGTAGGTTTACAATAAAAGAAACAGTAATCAAGATATTTTTCAAAAACTTTCAAGTTTGTTTCGTCATCATGCAATTTAAATATCGGAATTTCGATTGAAAAATCTGCTTTTCGATCATATTATTTGAAAAAGTTAAAATTCCCATTTTTGTTCGTCACATGAACTAAAGAAAAACAGATGGATATCAAGTTTCATTTGTAAATCTACTAATTTGCTATACTTCATCAAACTATTTTAATAATCCTCACCCTAAAGATAGCTGTCTATTGGTTCGACAGAAACAATATTATACGATTAGTTTGTCTCGTACACAGTTAGATGAGCACTACTCTTTTTTTAGGACTTCTCCACTACATGTTGGACATTTCGAGCTATCTGAACACTCAAAATCACATATTAAGATATCAAAGCCACGTGTGGCATTTAAAGAGAGATTATTGATATGAAGTTAGTGACAAAGAAAAGAAAAAAATTGGCGTTCTTTTATTTATAAAGAAGATATGCTGTAGGTCACAAAAAACGTTAAATATTTTTTGTTGATTTTATGAAGACTGTAGAAATGAATAGTTCAAATAAATGCTAGAACTAGAAAAAAAAAACTTTTATTCGTGAACATATACTACAGAGTCTCTCAACCATATCTAGATGTTCATCATCAGTCAATATAATCACAGGTTTCAAACGATGGATCAATACGATAATATGAACAGAATGGAGGAAAGTACTGATATATGGAAAAAATGCTACTAACATTGCATAAAAAAATCTTCAGAAAGAAAATATAATTTTGCTGAAAAATAAAATTTCTGCTAGGCTCTATAGGGTAAACATATGAAGTTATAGAAATGTAACGAAAAGTAATAGTAAGTAACACTTTCTTTTGGTATATATATAAAGCTTTTCTTAAGTGAGCAATTCTATTTTATGTTAAGGTGATTACATATTTTTCTATAGGAATTTGTCTAGTTTTAATAATAATGATCGAAAATAAAATTCTGATTCAATCTCATTTTAGCACAGCAGAGTACAGTATATTTAACATGAGAATACATCCAAGAATATTAATGACCGTTAGAAGAAGGCGTTCCAAAATATATACCTGTGTACTGGTCATCATATTTGTTTTGTTAATCAGTCATATTCTATGCTACGCATTACGACGTCGTTCATCCAAGAAGTTTCTAAATGAAATGGATCTATTTCGATATGCGAATGTTGCTTGGCCTCGACGACGTATACCTCGTGTGATTCATCAAACGTATCGTACGTATGTTATACCTACTATTTGGAATACAACGGTACAATCAGTGATGAAGATGAATGCCAATGAGTTTAAATATCGTCGATGGTCTCATGCAGACATGGATACATTTGTTCGACAGCATGAGCCTCACTTCTATTGGAACACTTTTGTCAGTTATCGATATGATATACAGCGTATCGATTCGTTTCGATATGTACTTTTGTTTCACTTAGGTGGTATTTATATTGATATGGACAATGCTTGTCATCGTCCTTTTCGCGAACTAGTAGCCACTATGGAGGCACTCGATCCAGACTCGATTCACCTTGCTCTTTTCCCGGCTGCAGAAGTATTCGGCATTCAAAACAACTTCATGATTAGTACTGCTGGTCATCCGATATACAAGCAGTTTATTTCACGATTGCATCTGTTCAATCATAATTTTCTCATTTATCATGTCACTATATTACTTAGTGTTGGTCCACTCTATGCTACAATTCAAGAATACTTTTTCAAACAAACAGATAAACAAATTGTACGTACATTTGATAATAGTATGTATCGTGCCATGTTTTGGAAGACAAAAGGAGGTACATGGTTTCATCGAGACACTCTAATGATACTCTATCTTTATTACAATAGACATCGTGTTTTATGGTATTGTTTAATATTTGCTACGTGGCTTGCTGCTCTTCTTATTGTAGTCATATTGTTCAGACAACAGCGAAGACATTTTCTCGCTGCATTGACAATGAAAAGTCAAAAATTATTACTCTTCGCTGAAAAATTCTCAACGACGATTGATATTAAATTAATAAACAGAGAAATTTAGTCTGAATGCATTTTCTCCATTTTCAATGCAACTAAACAACTAGAAAATTATGGAAAATTTCGTTAGGAAAGTCGCTGATGTGACTTAACTGTGAAACTTTACATTACAACACACATGATCAAGGACTCTCTGAATTGAACGTTTTCTGTATATGTTTCATGATTACTATGAGGGTGAGTTTGAAAATAAATTCATCGAAAGCGAAAACATACAAGAATTAATCGAAAAACAATATGTTAATTAGAATTAATACCTATTCATGTCAGAAAATGTAGATAAAAGATCAAACAATGATGTGGAGAATAATATCACTGATTTGTCTTTGAAGGTATGCGCCAGAGCTGTAACCGGTATAATTTTTTCCTGACTGGTACCGGTACTGGTTAGATCGACCGGTATACCGTTATGAGTCATTCTTCGATCTTCTGGCCTTCTAATACTCAAATCAACCCCTGGATGAGTCATATCTTCCTCCTAATCCCTACAGCTATGATATAAAAGCACTATTTCACCACTACAGTGCTTTTTACTATTTGCTTTCATATGGGTGTGGGTATTGGTCTTGTCTTCACCCATACCCGTAGAGGCTACGCTAACAAGCTTTTTTTCCATTATTCACTGTTTTTTAGCACATCTTCATTTGAAAAAGTAGAGCTTAAGTCCGCTCCCCTCAAAATAGGATCTCAAAGCCAGAACACGCTATTGAGCTGAAACTTTGTGCACATATTGTGAGTGGATAGTTAGAGTGCGGATGAGTGTTGGTCTGCTTTTCACCTATAGTCACAGTCACAGTCGCACTCCACACGCACCCACACCCTTATCAGTCAATCTCAAAAATTGTTCTCTATTTTCTTTGAATCATCTATTATCCATAGCCTTTTATAACAGCCTCTACGATGAGTTCAGACACCTGACTGTAAATGATTTGCATGTCAGAAGCAAGCGTAGTTGTGATTTGTTGGATAGAGGCAGAGAACGAATAGAGAACAACAACAAAAATGTCACGAAATTCGATAAAACAAGAGGTTGTGATTCTCTATCATGTGTAAATATTTTGTTTTTCAACGGGCGCAAACATGCTTTACATTCCTGTGTGATTCACAAGATATTTTTTATTGTGCTGCAAGAGCGCAAGTTGTCACAACTACGTGTAAAGGTTGTTGACTGAAATCGAATTCTTGAAAAATAAACGACCAACTGAATAGCACTAGGTGCTGATTTGGCATGGAAAAGCCGTCGACTGAAGAACAAATCTGTCCGATCACAAAGGATCATATTTATGTGCCTGCATTATCTATACACGAACACATATACGAACGCGAAGCAATAATGCGATGGGTTAATGAACATGAAACGAGCCCTATGTCAAGACAACCTCTTCATCCCAATGAAATTTTTTCTGACGGAAGTACCATCGCCGATCGAAGAAGCACGAGCACCAATCTTAGAAACACAAGCACCTGCCATACATGCACGATCACGTACCGTAAGAGAAGTACCAGCATTTATTCCTCCGTCTTCGCACAGACGGGGATGTCATGACCAATTTTGTACTTTACGCTTTACATATCACCTACTCCTTACAGTCATAATTGGTATCCCGGTTTTCGGACTGATCTCATTATTTATCATACAACATCGTCCACCTTGCACAGTTCTCTCAGCCTCAAATATGTTTCTTCTAACCGTACTGATTATTTTATTTTTCAATAAGAAAATTCTTCACGTGCTAGTCACAATAAAATGGGTAATGAAAGAATGGGTAGGAAGTATGGTACAACTCGAGCAATAGTTTATTTTAACAAAATCTGTAAAAATAAGCATTCTTTCCGATTTTGAATAGACACTTGAGTAGAAAACAAATAGGAAAACATTAGTCTAGTACTATGAAAAAGATGTAGTCATGAATAAGTTTTTGAAATCAAAGTTATTGTTAATGAGCATACACCTGTGGTGTATCTATGCCAGGAATTTCAATCATGCTTTTATAAGAGAAAAATTTCTTAACTGTACGATGTCGTGTCTGTTCAAGATTATATCGCTAATTGATCCATAACATTGGAATCGTTTTATGATTTTTGTGTATTATGAGATGAAAAACCCGAGCTTCTTGTAAAAGTAGCAGGAATAAAAATTTAAAGTAATTTCGGCAAGACTGTCCTTCCAAAGATGTTTCTACAGAATTGATAGGATCTCAAAAGTTGTAGACATATGTGTTCATTGTTCTCTTTCGACCAGATATTCTTTTTTTTCCTACTAACCAAAATAGAAAAACTTCAAGAAATAGGACTTTTTTCCAGAAAAAATTTATGATTCCTATTAAGTTTTATATGAAGATTCATTGAGATACACCAAGACACACTATTGAACTATATAACTTATTCATGTTGACATCCTTAAGAATTATTTTACGTCGATCATGCCCAAAAAAACATTTCACAAGGGCAGTACTTCTTCGCGTTGAGAATCGTCCATTCGACGAAAATAAATTTTATTCGAAAAAATATACAGCCCGGTCAAACAGAAGTATTATTACATTTTCTTTTGGAAGAAATGTACGTGGATATCTTGACGATATATCATTTTATGATATATTGACCAACGTCGAGCTTATCAAAAATGGTAACTTCGAAAGCAGTACTCCTGAAAAGTATTGTGCGTGGATCTCCAAGGATTCAACTTGCGAAACAATAAAAAGTCATCAATATTCAGGCTCCTATGCATGTAAAATTAACAGTCAGGGTTTAGTGGAATTGTCGCAAGCATTCAAGACAATCGTTGAACGTAATTATAATGTGAGCTTCTGGTTCAACAGTCAAGATGGAGGCGACGAGGATCTCAATGTATTTGTGAGTACACCATTGACTGAGAATTAGCGTTCTTTACGATAATTTTTGACAAAATTCATTGTTATTTTTATTTTAATCTACCATATGTGAGGCGCTATGTACTTTCTATTTCAACAGCCGAATCCTGCTATTTCTGAACTTTGCATTATTTTGAAAAACTTGTCCATACCAACATTTCCTTCATTGTTTTCTTTTATCGAAGAATATTTTCCATCACTTGTTGGAAAAAAATAGTGACATTGTTGGATATATAATTCTTGGTACACTATGCCGATGGAATAGGTTTCTTCTTGTTTTCATGGAAATCTTTGTGGAGTAACTCTTCATCTGTTGTCTTACTGAGGGTGTGTGTGGGTGTGCATCTACTCTTAACACCCATATACCGCCAGACAGATGTCATGGTTTACACATTGATCAGAGAAGTTGCTTATTACAACTTACCAAGAGGTAAATGTTTGATACTGATCGAATACATGTTGCAATGACGAAAAATGTGCGGGCTGGCGGCAACACTAGACTGCCAGAGCAACATCCTGTAGTAATAGAAAGATTAATAATTGTCACACTATATGTACGTGGAGTGCATTGTGGTTTTCGATCACCATATAGTTGTAAAAAGCAAAATATTACTATCGAGTACGTTAATCTGGTTGCATTTTTTGCGATAGAAATTATGTTAAATTTACAATTATATGTACATTGTACAAAGATAAAATATTGTCAGTGATGTTTTTGAAAGTAAAATTTATTTCGGTGTGGTTTATTTAGTGCATAATTGAAAAAATACTATTCAATTCTTTAAGGTAGACAATAAGAGAGTTAACACGGTTTTTTAAAAAGTTGATAGTTGAGAAAAATGAGCAAAAGTTAAAATGGTAATAATTCAGATTATAAGTATCAACAACAGTTTTAATTTCCAAGCCGAGTTATAATGATCATGTGTACCTATAACTATTAAACATGTTTACTCGATTAACGTTTTGAATTTTTCAGTAAATTTAATAAGTTGATACGGTAATTATTTCGATTTAATTGACATGCTTTATAAAGAAATAAATTAAGTTATAGATATTTCATTGTTCTTTACTTTAATAACTTAGTATTTATAGATTATTCTCTGAGTAGTGTCTTCTATGTTTAGGTCGATGAGCAAAGCAGGCAAAATACAATCATTTTATTGAATATACATTTATCAAGCGTACTCAGTTTTGAATAAAAATTGTGTCTTTGAAAGTTTCGTAATACAGTCAATTGTTCGAATGTTGTAATAATCATAGCTTTCAACTCTCGTTATAACTTTCGGCCATAGTTATATACTTGAATCTTACTTAAAAATAATTTAATTACAGTTGCTGACCAATAAGACTTTCAGCATTATAATCAATTTGTAATTGATTATAGTCAAAATGAATCGATAAAATCAAAATTTCGTTCGTTATTCTCATTAATTTCGATTATAATCGAAACTAATCAACAAATATTTACATCAGCTGAGATTACTTAAAGCTATTAGTCATATCCATGCCCTAAATAAAGTACAAAGCACCAGCGAGCCACTGTTCCACTTTATCCTTCTGAATAATGCAGAAAGTATTTTTCTGTTTATCTCTAACTTGTAAAGAAAACAATGATTGTATCTTCTCTTCTCATGTTTGTCGATATAAGATAACGAGGAAAAACAAAAACATCGGAAGACTCGATGTACTGATAAAAGTAATGACAGACATAAAATAATAACTTGATATAGTTATTTCATGTTTAAATAAAATACATATGAGTATTCTTCAAGAAAGCGTGATCTAAAGGACGGGGGACGTTTTAGGCACACTTCGACCCAATTAGAAAGTAAAGGCAGATTAACATGAAACTTTCAGCAAATGTTCAACTAAATGATAGTAGTCATCCCTGAAAATTTCAGCTTGATTGAATAAACTTTTCCTTTACTTCGCCAACGAATTATATACTTCCAAGATATATAGACAAACGTACCTCAACGTGAATATTGTGGATCTTCGTTCTCCGCTATTTAATTCAGACTCTGAGTCATTTTTCTAGAGATATTAGTAGTTACTAGATACTACAAAACTGCAAAGACAACAGGTTGAAAAAAACCTGCCTTCGTATCAACATGAAGTACAGAGCCGCCTAAAT